AAAAAAAATTTATATACGATTAATGTTCAGCAATTCATAAATTTGCATCAAAGAACTTGAATGCTTGTATTATTCATACAAATATAGTTTTGAAAAAAATATATATTTCTATATATTTTTCAACAGAAAAAAAGTAAGTATTATGGGTTTAAAGATTCAGAAATTTATTCGAGTTTGTTACTAGAAAATTTTACTTGAGAATCAGATGTCAATAAATTTATAGAAAAATAAAAAGATCTGTTAAACTCCGAAAACGATTGAAGAATGAGATATTCATTATAAGGATACAAGTAGAATATTGCCTCAAAAATTCACTCCATTTAAAACCATAATTGTTGAATAAAATACAAAAGTTTTTTAAAACTTTTTAATAAGACCAATTTTATAAAATTTTTTTTTTTTCAAAAATATTTCGATAAGATAATATAACATTATTAGAAAAAAGTTTAAATACTAAAGCACATGACGGAGGTTTGTTGATTAATATTTCTATTTAATTCGTTTAGTAAGATAAATTTCTTTTTTTAATTCATTTAAATGATTTTCCCTTACGAACTTTTTCTCCAAGACATTATTAGAAAAAAGTATGAATACAAAATTATATGAATTAATAGTTTAATTTATAACAAGAAAAATTTGCTTTTTGTTTGAAAATCTAAAAAATCTATAACTAAACTAAAGCAAATGACGGAGGTTTGTTGATTAATATTTCTATTTAATTCGTTTAGTAAGATAATTTTTTTTTTTTTTAATTCATTTAAATGATTTTCCCTTATGAACTTTTTCTTCAAGACTTATTTTAAAAATATCTCTTTTGCGTTCCAGTACTCTACAGGACATACGTCACGGGTTTCGAAGTGGAAGGGCACAATCATCAATTTCTAATAAAGTCGTCTAAATCTAGATACTCCGGAATAATAAAAAAAAAAGATCTTTTGTTGGGAGGTCCTGTGCTCCTTTTCCTCTTTCTCCCGGTGTCGTCGGCCCTGCTCTGTAATAGATCTCTATTGCACATTTTTGTTCAATTTCGTGTTGAATTAACTTTAGTACCTTTCTCGGCGCTTTCATCAGTAATTTTTACTAGTAGATGGTTTAAAAGAATTATTTTTGAATAAATATTCTGTTGTTCCAAGTTAGTTATATTTCAGAGTATGCCACGTGCAGTATTAAAAAAGTGCAATATAGAATTAATGTAAGTGAATTTAATTATTAGTTATTAAAAAACAGTTATTGTTTAAAATATGATTCGAATATTAGTTGGAATACTTTTATATTACCAAATGATTTTAATATTTAATTGAATATTTCTATTTCCAAATTATAAATTTCTTGGTTCAAAAAATATTAATTTAATATGAGTCTCAGTTTCGGTGCATCAAAAAAAAAAAAAAAATTTTAAGAGATTAAAACAAAACAAAATCTAGAAAAAGTTAATACGTCTCAGTAACAGTGATTAAAAAAAAAATCAAGTGTTTTCTGACAAATAAACATAAACGTATTTTATTTACTTTAAATTAAATATTAAATTTTTAATACATTATTGAATTTTATATTTTTACTTATTACTTGAAAATAAACGAGTCTTGACCGTAATCAAGTTACATCAAGTTAATCAAGTAACAATAGGTTATAATATTTGAGTTTTCCTTTAGTCTCAGTAACGGTGCAATGAAAAAAAAAAAAGAAGAAAAAGTTTGCCTCATTTCTGAATGTATAAAAAACTTCAACTCTAAAATGCATGACGGAGGTTTGCATATTTTTATTACTTTTTAATTAGTAGTAGTAAATTTAAAAAAAATGAAAATAATAAAGTTTGTTTAAATCATTTTAACGAAGTTTTTCTTCAAAACTAAGTTTCAAAATGTATCTGCATTTTTGCATTCGAGCACTCGATTGCACTTTTTAAAATTTGGGTTCTTGTATTTTCCCCGGCTCATTTTACCGGCACATGGTTTCGAATCTTTTTCTGTATAAATTTGGCGATTACAAATGCATTTTTTCGAGTGAGCCACGTGTAGTGCCGTTAAAGGTGCAATGTAGAATTAATGTAAGTAAATTCTTTCTCAACGCATTTATAAAAAATATTATCGTTTAAACAATTTAACATATGTTCTTTTAATATTTTTCTTGAAAGTGAAGGAGTCTTGAACGTTATTAACTTTACAATTGCTTACAAAGTATGATTTCCAAACGCCCTAAGTCTCAGTAACGGTGCATCAAAAAGATATTAATTAATTAAGATTATTAATTAATCTTTTAAGAGAATAAATTTTAATCTTGAAAAAGAATTGAATTTATAAGTCTCAGTAACGGTGTTTAAAAAAAGATTTTAAAATTGTTGTGTCATTTCGTAGCAATTTTAGAATGTGCCACTTGCAGTACCGATAAAGGTACAAATAAGAATTAAAGTTAGTAAACTTAATTAAAAATAATTTATAAAATGTATGTTATCGTTTTAACAGTGGAACATTTGTTTACATATTTTTACTGGAAGTAAAAATATGTAAACATATTTATTAAGTTTATAATCAACTCGTTTCTCCGCGCAGCGGCCTTGTTCGTCAAGATTCGTGATTCGGAGTTTTTGAGTTGAGAGAGGGTTATAACCACAAATAAGTAGCCTCCTCGTCTGTAGTGGCCTTCTCGGCCTTGAGAAGGTGAATTAAAAAAAAAATAAATAAATAATGGCTTTATAAAGTAAAAATATTTTAATAAGTTTATAATTAAAAAATATTTTATTAAGTTTATAATGGCTTAAAAACTATAATTTACCTATTGCTCCGAGTCTCAGTTAGGGTGCATCAAAAATTATTTTTTGTAAGAGACTCTCTTTTAATCTTTTTATACCATTTTCAAGTTTACACTGGCTTAAAGTGTATGATTTTTTTAAAGTCTCAGTTGAGGTTCATTATTTTTTTTTTTTTTATAGACTAAGTCAAAACAAGTTTTAGAAAAAAACATACTAAATTTCAGTAATGATGTTTATATACCTATTTCATTAAAATTAAATGTATTATTTAAAACTAATTAAATATGTTTATTTGTAAGGAAATACATTCATCTTTTTTTAAACACATAAGATCCAGTATAGATTTTGTTTTGTTCTAATCTCTTTTTAAAAAATATATTTTTTATGGTGCACTGTAACTGAGACTCCGGCTAAATCGTACATTTTGAGCAATTTAAACTAAATACTATTCAAGGCTCCTTTTATTTTAGGCAATTATAAATTCTAATTTTATTAAATATAATGATAGAAATTATAAATATAGAGAATTATAAATAATGATAAATAATGTAAAAAATGGTAATGATAATAATTTAATGAATTATAAATATTATATATGTATTAATGATAATAATATAATGAATTATAAATATTATAATGAATTATAAGTATAAATACAAAATTATATTAATTAAAAAATATTTTTAAGCATTAAACTATTAACAAAGAAGAAATTAGTCAGCTAATTTATCACTACTCACCACTACTCATCACTACATCACTACTCATCACTACTCATTTACTATTGTCTTGTGTATCTTGTTTATTTCTTATTAAAATAAAAAATATATATACTATTAATTTTGAACAGACAAATAACATTTATTCGATTTATTACTTGTGTCTTATATTCGTCGAACTAATATTGTATTGTACTTCAATTTTTAACCTTTTAGTTTTTAACTTGTAACTTTGTGACGTTAATGTAAACGGGGCTTGGCGATAAGACAGTTTATGTCTTCTTCTTGCTCCGGCCAATTTTTATACATGAATGGTTTTTTCTCATTGTAAATTTAATTATACGGCAAAGAAAATATAATAATAATAATATAATAATAATAATAATTGAAAGCAAGATACACAGTTCTGATGATGAAATTTTATCTGACAAAAACAATGGTAATAGTTTTTGTATTTAAATTTATAAGTTTTCGATTTAGTATTTTTTATAAAGTTTATAGTTGTTGTTATAGTTATTGAATCCAGACACAAACATGGGCATAAAAAACACTACTGTCTTTATTGTGAAAAACTTCTCTCAAAAATCCCAAGGCATTTAGAACATATTCATAAGCATGAAGAACTTGTTATAGAAGCCCTTCGTTATCCAAAAAAAAGTAAAGAGCGAAGAAATATGTGGACTTATATAGAGAGGAAAGGTGATTTTAATGTAAATATAAATAACATTAAAAATTCTAAAAAAATAACATCTGTAAAGAAATGTACAGTCAACAAAGATGATGAGCCATTGCCTTGTGAATATTGTTATGGTTTTTTCAGAGCAAGAAAACTTTGTGAACATGTTTCAAAGTGTTTTAGGTGTGGTAGTGAAAACAAGGAAATAAGTTATATAAAAGCTTCTCAAATATTAGTAGGCCAATCCAGTTTGACCGACAATGCTAAAATTGTACATGAGTATATACTTACAACTATGAAACATGATAAACTTCACCTTGTTATTCGCAATGATAAGTTATTATTGACCTATGGAGCAGTTGAAGTTGGTAAAAAAGAAAGAGATCGTTACCATGATGTAGACTATGCACTTCAAGTTTTAGCTAAGTTATTGTTGCAATACAGAAAACAGTTTAATGCAGAAGATGCATCTGCCAAAGATTTAGTCAATACAAAAAACTATGATATCATTGTTTCTTCTATGAAAGTTTGTGCAGATTGTTGTTGACCAAGAAAAATTGGAAATCCTTATCTCGTTTTAAGAATAGGGTATTCATTAAAAACTTAGGCTATAATAGTCAAGTTAGAGTACCTGAAATTAGGATTACAAAACATGGTTGAAAACATTCAAAATTTTGTAGAGCTACTGGAATCAGACTACAGTATTTTTTTAAACAATGCACGTAGTGTATATGATTTACGAAAAGCCAATCCACCAGATATGTTGCCAGAAGAAAGTGACATTAAAGTTTTAAGAAATTGTTGTGTTTTAAAATCAGCAAGTATTTAAACAATACGATTCTTACATCTAATGAATATATACATTTGTATAAACTTACTTATGTAAGAATACTAACATTTAATGCTAGGCGAGGTGGAGAACCTGGAAAGTTAACATTAGCAGATTGGGCTATGGTAGAAAAAGGCAGGTGGAAACGCCTAACTGACATAGATGCTTTAGATGATCCAATAGAAAAAAAGCTTGCAGAACGATTTAAACTATGTTACATTGAAGGCAAAAAAAACGGAGAGGTATGGAATTTTGTTTTTTATTCACTTATTAAAAATTTAATGACATCTTATTTTATATATTTTTCTGTTCAGATATTGAGAAATTTTTGTATTCAGAAATAAAATTTTAAATGCTTTTTTCATGCTGTATATGTTATTAAATTAGGTTCTTCTGTAAAAGCATTAGTTCCGATTATTTTTACTGAGGAAGTTGTTGGTGCAATCAGACTATTAATCAGCTCAAGGCATTATGCTAATATTTCTCCAAAAAATAATTATGTGTTTGCCCGTGATACAGGCTGTTTTAAACTACGTGGTTGGAATGCGCTGCAATCTTTAACAAAAAAGCTTAATTTATCGAAGCCAAAGCTTATTACACCAACTAGAAAGTATTTGTCAACCATTCTGCAGTTGTTAGACAATGCAGAGCTTTTGTGGCTCACAAATCACATGGGGCATACTAAAGATGTTCATCAAAATTGGTATCGACGTGAGGATTCTACTATCGAATTAAAAAAAGTAGCAAAAGTTTTTCTTGCTATGGATAGCAAGAAGAACTGCTATCCATAGCAAATATGGCGATGCAAGGTGCATTCAAAGTAAGAAAATCGATTTACTATTACAAAATAGTTTTGAAGGAATTGGTTTTTTTTTTTGCTTAATAACTTTTTTTATTTTTTATTTGACTTTTTTTTTCTGCATATAAATGTTGGTTACCTGTCATAAAAATTTTTTTATAGGTGAGTTAAGGTGAGTATAAATTGAGATCATTTGCAAAACACCTTAAGTTTGAGTAAACTCATTTTAAGAATACAATGAAAAACTACCCTTAGCATCAATAGAAACTGATATTTTCTTTTTCCAGTTTTAAGCCAAAAAGTTTTTTCTTTTTTTCAGCCCAATATTTAGATTGTGGAAATGGAATTAACTTACAATTTTTGTGACTTTTTACAATTTTTTGTGCAGATAGGCACTTCATGTTTTGTCTTAAGTATCCCGTTTTGTAAAATAGTCTTTTTGAATGCTAAAAAACCTTGTTATAAATCTGTTTTTAACTGCTTAGTGTCGTTTTATATTACAAATATAAATATAATGAATAATAAAGCTTTTAAGACAAGCAGGTGTGGAAAAATAGGTGTATAACAGCACCCACAAATGTGTTTTAAAACAATTTTGATTTTAAAACAAATGTTTAACGTTGATTCATGTAATGATTAAAAAACAGGTAATGCCCTTTATTCAAATTTATAAATTGTTGCATTTGTAACCATTTAATCGTTATTGGTTAAGGGATATCAAATGTTAATACAGGAGGAAGTGCTAATGTTTGCACTTATTCAGATAAAGATGTTGGAGATGCAAATAGCAATGTTTTAGATGAAAATAGCAATGTCATTGAAAATGAATTAACTAATGTCGAACGTAAAAGAATACAAAATAAAAGACGAAACATGCACTAAGAGGTTATTTTTTGAAATTAAATTAACTTTGCTTTTCTCTTTAAAAAGAAAAATTCGTTTCAAAATTATAAACAAACCTTTAGTATTTGAATTTTGTTGTTCCTTATTATTTAGTGTTCTTATTTAGCCAAAAAAAACTTGGAAAGGTTGGTCGGAAGAAGAAAGCGTATCACTTCGTAAAGCGTTTTCGATATTATATCACGAGAAAGATTCCGTGTTCGCTTCTTGATGTTAAAAAAATTATCGAAAGTATACCTTGTTTTCGAAGAAGAGGGCATAAGATCGTTAAAGACAAATTAAACAGTATTATTAGAAAGAGATTATTTATGCGTGTTTATTTATTTATATACAAATAATAGTGTTTTGAAGTAGTTATGTTGAAATCAAATTTATTAACGTTGATTAAATAAAATATAATTATTTCAAGTGTATTATCATTTTAGGTGTGTATAAAAAGATCAGTGTTATATTTGTATAATGAATATCCCAGTAAGCACAAGACGCATTTTAGACACTTATAGACGTCTAAAACTAGTCTAGGTAAAGACGCACTTTTATAGACGTTTTAAAGACATCTTTTAGACGTCTTTTATGAATGCGTTTTTAAAATGACCTTTAAAAGACGTCTTTTTTAAAGATAAAAAGACGTCAAGAAGACGTCAATTTTTAAGACATCTCCTAGACGTCTTTTATAAAGGCGTTTTTAAAATGACGTTTAAAAGGCGTCTATTTAAGCGTTAAAAAAACGTCTAGAATCTATCTTTTTTTAAGACATCTTCTAGACGTCTTTAATAAATGCGATTTTAACATGACGTTTAAAATGCGTCTTTTTAAAGTTTAAAAATACGTTTAAAAGACGCGTAATAAATAGTCTAAAATACGCATTAAAAGACGTCTAGATCAAAGCTAAAAGACGTCTTTTCTGAGACCTGTTTATAAATATGTCATTATGACTTCTTTTTGACGGCTTTGTCATTACGCGTTAAGTAGATGTCGTATATTCAAAGTAAAAACATAGTTTTTATTATTTTCAATAATTTGTTCAAGTTTTAAGTGTAAATTACTTTAAATTAAATTTACACAGTTGCTAAAATTGTTGTCACAATTGCTAAAATTGTTGTCACTTTTTTACACAATTGCTAAAATTGTTGTCACAGGAATCACTAAAATAATTGCTATAATAATAATATATCTTTTTTTTATTAACAATTATTTTGCTTTTTTAATAGATAGTTGACTGATCATGATAATAAGTGAAATTGGCAAGAATATTATATAAGTTAAATATCAGTACTTTTAGTTTTTATACACCCACAAGCCATATAATTAGTCAAGTATGCGGTCAAAAATTAGCAAGCATTGCGATTGTTAAATTTTATTATAATTAAAGGTAAGTAATAAATGTTTTAAATAATGTTTTCATATATATTTGTTATTGTTATTTATTATTTTCATCTTTGATGCATAAACCGTTGGTGGTGATTACAGCAATATTGTTTTGATAGCTGGTTCCTATGTATATTTTGTATATACGAATTTATAACAATATATGATGTTATAAATACAATGAATATATACCACATACTACGCGAATATGTTACGTCATGTACTTAAATTTATCTTGAAAAAAACGTCTAACATACGTCTAAAACGCGTTTTTATAAAGACGTCTTTATTTAGACGTCTTTTAGCCTTATGATCTAGACGTCTACAAGTGCGCCTTTTAGACCTCCTTAAAGACATCTTTAAAACGTCATTTAAACGTCTTTGTGCTTACTGGGATATATTAAATAGCAAAAAATATTTATTTACTTTGTTTTTATGCATATTTTAGATTTCTCTAATAATTCACCGAAAAAAGATGTTTTGCGAGTAAATCCAGCTTTAATCTTAAAAATTAATCTTAAAAAAAGACTAAAAAAGATTCAATAACTTTGTTATAATGATTTTAATTTATCAACCTCTCAAAAAAAAACTAAAATCATAAAACAATTACAAAACGCTCGATACGAGAAAAAAGTCATTGAGATTACAATTTTTATATTTTTTTAAATGTGATTTTCAAAACAATAGAAAAAGTCGCGTTTAAAGAACGCGAGAAAATGCGCGTGTATGTAAATCGTGTAAGCTAATAACTTTATAGTGGAGCAGAAGTGGACTACTATCTCAGAATATAACACAGTATCAAAAACATATAAATGTATTTGGCATTATATTTGCAAAATAAAACAACATTTTTTTAGAGTCCCGATAATGTTGAGTTTTCTAGTTTTTTAGTGTAAGCTGAATGTTCGTGTAAAGCCCCATTATTGAGACTTGAAAAATAACAGTGCCACTCATCGAAATACATCGAATTAACATAGTTTTTGCTGTTATTTTTCTAGGGACTTAAAAATGTCCCGACAAAAAAAAAGTCCTCGTAAAGGGTCAGTATAAAACCGCAATGTCTCACTAAAGGTACGAATGTACTTACATACATACATACAGATATACATACATATACACACATACAAATACACATAGACGTATATACGTACACACACATAAATATACATATACATGTATACGCACAAACAGGTGCATACACACATGCATATATACACATAAATAAACACACTGATACACAACATTTTTTACAAAGTTATATTTTACTAAATTAAATATAACGTTATTCGAGAAAAAATTTATAGAATTACTACATAAGAAACAGTATATGTTTACAATTTATTCTAACTTTAACAATAAAATATTTCTCTGGAAAACACAAAATAAGATAACTGAAAACCAAAATTAGAAAAAAAACTTAGAGATTTCATCAATTGAAAATATAATATTTTGAGTTTTTGTTTAAAGGAGGGATAACTACATCTTTTAAAAATATCAACATTTTTTGAAATTATTTTATTCCACAAAAGTACTCCACAAAACGAGATGCTAAACTTTTTAAAATTTATATAGCATAAAGGTTGTAGAATTGTTTATAATTTTTAAAATATATATATATATTTTTTTTTTCATAGTAAATAAAATTAGGAAGGGTTCAGAAGATAAACTGTTTTTACATTTATACATATAACAAAGAACATTGAAAATATTCAGCCCTTTATACTAAAAATATTCATATCAATTAGGTGAGGCTTGACACGAGTAAAATGGTCCCTAAAATTAATAAGACATGCAACATGTTTCTGGTGACGAAATACAGGTTCAAGTTTACTTTTATTTGTACTACCCCACGTAAGACTTGTATAATTTAAATGGCAATGGATAAATGAATGATATAGTTGAGTTAAGGTGTGCATGTTTAGGATATTTCTTGTTTTATATAGTATAGTTATATATAGTTTCTACATAATTGGGAATCCAAAGCCTCATGTGATAATGTATCAGACTTTTTTTATGACAAATGTTGATTAAATTTAATTAAGAAGTAACACATTTTGGTTTGTAATTTATTTAAAGTTGCATCTATCCCTCTTTTTCCTTCGGACTTTCTATTGCCAGACTCATCTATGTTTAATCAACACTATGTGGGGAAACCTTTATAAAGGTTTCCCACATAGTGTTGTAAAACAGGTTCTAACCTTAACTGATTCTAACAAGTACTAACCTTTTGACAGGGGGAAAACCGTTTTGGTTGAATGAAAACTATAAAAACTACTTTCATATAAGTATAAAAATCAGATTATTAAGTCCTGGCAAGTTGTTTACATTTTAAGATAAGACATTTTTTAGATAAAACACTATGAATTCATTAAATATTTTTGAGTACTTTAATTCAAGGTTACATCCAAAACATCCAGAC